AAAAAAAAAAAAAAAAGAAAGAAAGAAAGAAAGAAATCCTTATTTCCAAATAAGGTCTCATTCCCAGGCTCTGGGACTAGCATACAGACAGATCTCTATACTATGGTATTAGCGTACAGACAGATCTTTCTGAAGGCCACTGTTGACGTCACTATAATTATATTCAGTTTTTTCTGGAGGTTCCAGGGCAGGGTCCTTCCTGTCACCTCTGGCAGACCTCTCCTTTGATGCTGCTTCCCTGCCTCTTAGGCTGGTTGTATCATCACGGTTTTCCTACAAAGGGTCTCGAGATCTCGGCGGCCATCCTGCACAGTCTGTGTCTTTCTGCAGAAGGCGCTTGAACTCATTCTCTCTGTGTTCACGGTCCCGTGTGTTGAGGTCTCAGCTCTGCGGGAAACAGCAGAGATCAGACCTCAACACACAGGACAATCAACGCAGAGAGAATGTGCTCTCGGGCAGAGCTCAGATCTCAACACACAGCATACTGAGCATCTAAGTGGTGTCACTTAGATGATATCTTGTTTCCCAGGCTGGAGTGCAATGGTGCAATCTCGGCTAACTGCAACGTCCGCCTCCCGAGTTGAAACGATCTTCCTGCCTCAGACTCTCAAGTAGCTGGGATTGCAGGCATGTGCCACCACGCCTGGCTAATTTTGTATTTTTAGTAGTGACAGGGTTTCACCATGTTGGCGATTAAAGTGATGTCTAAGATATGCCCTTAGATAAGCGAATATCTCAGGGAAGAAAGTCCACATTTCTCATCCTTTTGTACCAAGGAAGTTCCCTTGTCTAGTGGGCCCATGACAGGGAATTCCTGGTTATCTGTAAAGGAACAGCAGAAATCCAGGCATCCTGGTCATCTATAAAGGAAAATCACCATCTTTGGTGATGAACGCATTCCCAGAGGATGACTGATTTTTCTTTTAAAGAGGCTAAACAATACATTTATTATTTTCATTTAAATTACTTAACAGGGCAAACTTATCCATCTGAGAACCATCAGCCAGTCATGTAAGAGGCATGTGCTCCCGCCCTTAGTTTGAATTCCATCCCGGACTCGCAGCTGATTGTGATTCCAACGTACAGGTGTGCCAGGAGCTAATGTTGGATTTGAGTAGTCAGTGGGATTTTGTCACTTAGAGGAATGAATAGTAAGCCAACCAGTGGTCATCAGCCTTACACATAAGGAGTACAGACTCATAGGGCACACACAGTGCTCTCTTGAAAGCATTACAAATGACTGATTTCTCCATGTTGAAATTTGAGAACACAACACTTATCTCTAACACCAGAGAAAGGATTTCTCTTAGTCCTTGGTGGTGACTAAAAGTGAGCCTCTACGCCAAGGATGTACCCTCTGGCTGTGTGAGTCTTTCAGGAGCATCAGAAGATGGATACATTTCCTGTGGTTGCTGTAAGAGGTGACCACCAATTTGTTGGAGACTTAAAACAAGAGAGGTTTGTTCTCTCTCCGTTCTGGGCACCAGAAGTCTGAAGCCCAGATGCAGAAGGGCCAAGATCGCTCTGAGGAGGGTAAGGGAGAAGGCTTCCTGCCTCTCGAAGCTCCTGTGGCTCCAGGGGTTGCGTGGCTTGTGGGTGCATGACTTCCATCTCTGCATCCATCATATGAACATCTCGCCTTCTGTACTCAAACCTCCCTCATCTCCCTCTGCTTGTCTCTGATAAGAACCCTCGGGATTGAATCGGGTTCACTGGGATGATCCACAATGAACCTTCTTAATATTCTCAATTATATCTGCAAAGATTCTTTTCCAAATAAATGAGTATTTACAGGTTCGGAGGGTTAGGGTGTGAACATGTCTTTTGAAGGGCTATCATTTGATTCATTATAGAGTGAACAGAGGAAACCCCAAACCCTGCTCCATGACTCACCTTATGCCAGGGCATCGTGAAGAAAGGTGTTCACGTTCCTGGTGAGTGGAGTACAGGTGAATACCAGTGGATTCAGGAGGGGTCAAGAAGAGAGGTCCACCTAGGCAGGTGCTACTGGACTGTGCCTGAATAAACAAATGGGACAGCATTTTACGTTGAATGTGATTCTTATTATTACTGCAGTATCATGCATTGATGTGAGTGGGCAGCCGGACAACCAGTGCTATGCTCCTTGGTGACCACTGTCGGGTCCTGCCTTGTCCGTTGAATGCAGAATCTCAAGGTGACCGCTGTCTATATGCTTTGTCCCTGTCCATAGAATCCCACAGTGACCACTGTCCAAATCCAGTCCTCATCCCCCATCTATAGAATCCCACAGTGACCACTGTCCAAATCCTGTCCTTGTCCCCTGTCTATAGAATCTCATAGTGACCACTGTCCAAATGCAGTCCTCATCCCCCATCTATAGAATCTCATGGTGACCACTGTCCAAATCCTGTCCTCGTCCCCTGTCTATAGAATCTCATGGTGACCACTGTCCAAATCCAGTCCTCATCCCCCATCTATAGAATCCCACAGTGACCACTGTCCAAATCCTGTCCTCGTCCCCTGTCTATAGAATCTCATGGTGACCACTGTCCAAATCCAGTCCTCATCCCCCAGCTATAGAATCCCACGGTGACCACTGTCCAAATCCTGTCCTTATCCCCCATCTATAAAATCCCATGGTGACCACTGTCNAATCCCATGGTGACCACTGTCCCAATCCTGTCCTCGTCCCGTCTATAGAATCTCACAGTGACCAGTGTCCAAATCCTGTCCTCGTCCCTGTCTATAGAACCCCACAGTGACCAGTGTCCAAATCCTGTCCTCGTCCCATCTATA